TCTATAGGCTGGCAATTTAGTGACTACAGAGCATACTGATACCTTCACAAAAGGTGGCTATGAGTTAACAAATAAAAGAAGTGATACACAAAGGAAACCCTCACAGTTAGCAATGGAAATCACCGATGCAAGGACTGCCTGCATTTGTTGTAAGACTGAATAAACACTTAATTGTTTTATCTTAAAAAAAAAAAAAAAAAAGAAAAAAGAATACTTGCCATATTACAGATCTCAGACTGAGAAATCTGGAAAGTATGTGTGTCCCCTTCCCCCTATATATATATATATATATATATATATATATATATTTATGTGTATGTATAACATAGGAAGTGAGAAACACAAGATCTAAATTTAGTGGTTTGAACAGGGAGATCATTTGGATTGTATTCACAGCTCTCTTGCTGCAAGCAAAGTTGTCACCTTGCCCTTCTCCAGCTCAGCATTCTCACCTGTGAGATTGAGATGCTGCATACTTGCAGGCTATGAGGTTCAATCTGCTTATGTTTTGTAAAATATGCAATACACCTCATGAGGAAAAAGGTGAAATTATTTTTATGGAAAAAAATTTCTCTGCACATTTGCAAGAAAGAGAATCCAAAAGAAGACTGTTCTTCCACACTTGCATGACTGCTGGTTTGGGGTGCAATCACACCTTTAACAATAACTTTAAAGTCAGTAAAAGTCTTTGAGAGAGTCTAAACTGGTGTTTAAACTTAAACTCTTGGTGCAAGTGTAAGTGCTAGGAGGACAAATGAGCTTTACAAGGTGAAATGCTGGACTGACCTTGAACACGAAAGCAAAGCCCTCACTATTAGCACAGAAAAAGTTACATTCCAAGACTTCACTTGAGAAGCAGAACTAATTAGAGAAAATTAACAGAAATGAGGCATGTCATAGCTGGAATAGGGCATGACTGTGGTATGAAAGGCTGAATCACCGGACCTCTCATCAAAGTCAAGATGTTAAAAACACTAGCATTTTTTTTAAAGGCAAGTGACAAGTTTTGCAGATGTTCCTGTGGTAGCTGAATGTTCATTATGACATTCAAGCTCTGTTCTGCATGTAGGAGTTTCCCCTGTGTTAAAACAGTTTTCAGCCTTGATGTCAGGATACATTTCTGAGCATGGGGTCTTATTCAGGACCATGTTCATATTCCTACTACTCTGCAGGGGGTCCTGGAGAGAGTCACCAAGTCTGCACTAGAGTGGTAACACAGTGGAGATTTTAGAAATTTTTTTAATGAAGCTAGTAACTGATTTTTCAGTCCGTTTTTTTTCCAAATGCAGTCTGAAATATACTTTGCAGTCTTTTTCTTCTTACTTTGCACTTCCCAATTTTTCCTCTTACTAACCAGCTTCCCACAAACTCTAATGATCTTTTTATTACTGAATGGTAATATATGTTCCAGAATTGGTTGGACAGCATTTCTGATACACTCCTTGAAATGACTGCTTTACCAGCACTGTAGGAATGGGCTCAGCTAAACTGAAAATGGTTCACATAACCGTTCACATGGAATAGATGGGGGTGGAAGGGACTTCTGGAGATCATCTAGTCCAACCCACTTGCTCAAAACTGCATCAACTAGAGTAACAAGCTTAGCACCTATTACCTGTGATATGTCTACTTCTCAGAACTTTCCATAATGATTTCATAAAAATTCCTTATCTTTGGGAAGCCAGGTTTACTGTAAGCGCGAGTAACCACATGCCTGTGGTTAATGGAAGTGTTGGTGCTCATCAGTGATTGCAGAAAAGAAGCAGTCACCCATAAAGACCTGGAATTCTTCAGACTGATTCAGAGCCATGGTGTAAAAGATGCACAGGCTTAAAAGAAGACAGGAAAATCAGTCTCTCAGCTCTCTGGATGTTTGCAGTTATGTTAAAGTAGAGGAAAGTGTTCCCCTGTCTGTAGAAAAGTTGACACAACATGTCTGAAACTGAGGCGCAATTAGTGTTGGCAAGTCATTGTGTGGCTTTTCTCTAGAACAGTGTGTTTCTATGCTAGCCCAAAGAAGAAATGATGCAATTCAGGATGCAAACACATTTCTGATTGCTGCTTATCTGTTACACAAAAATCCCTGCAAAGTATAATAATAGTCTCCATTTACTTTTAGTAGTAATGAAGAATGCAGTTCCCTCAGTTTAGTTTAAGAGCTGGGATATAATGAGCAGAGGTCATTGTTGCCAGCCAATCAAATCCTTTAATTGAGAGTAAAAAATGTAGTCCTACTTCTGATGCATCTCAAGTATCTCAAAAGGCATAATTCTCCATCTACTTGAAAAGAAACCACTCTTGATTACAACACAAACTTCTTGGTTATGTAAAGCAAAGCCACGCTGGTCCTGACTGGACATAGCACAGCAGCATCTTCACTGAAACGAGTTGACTTATAAAGTTAAACCAGAATAAATAAAACTGAAATCAACTCTGCTGAATGCTACTTGTGGAATATCGGAAGTACCTACAACATATGTATATCTTGCTGCAGCAAAATCATTGTCAGCTCAGAGATGATGGTTGGGGATACAGCAGGTCCACTGTAAGCTATTTCCTTTAGTCACTGGGCAGTGAGACTGCTTACAGAGATCTGTGGGAAAAGAAAGTGCCTGTATGAATCTGTGAAGTGGTGGGCACTTCCCCAAACAAAATGCAGTATCTGAAGGAGTGTTTATGGTTTTTAGGCTGTAGTAGAAGTGATGTAGTAGAAATAGATCTGGTTTCATTCTGCTGTGTGCACAGAATTGAATCTTCTTCCCTTCTTTTTCCCATCACTTGTCAGATCATTAGGTCAGTCTGTTTGCTGGAAAGATTTTTATCCAGCTTCTTCAAAGGTGTTCAGTGCTAATCCTTCCTTCTCCTGTTTAATCCCATGAAACTTTTGCTCCAAACACTTCTCAGTCTTGTCACTTCACTACCAAAGTTCTGAGTTGTCTACTTGTTCTTCAGGAAATCCAATGTTCTTTGGAAACAGCCTTTTGACTGTGAAAATGGCAATTGACTTTAGTCACTCTACTCTTCTTGCACTTTTCCACGAGCTCCAAAATGGGTAGATGTTAGACTAAATTGAATCAGACATTTAAGACATACTCAAGAGAGAACAGAACAGATAGTTCTTGTTATATCAAGCAGAGGGCCTTTTTACATGGACTGAGGCTTGCAAAATGTTCAGTACCATTAGTAGGGAATAAAGAATTACCAATGTCAGCTGTGTTTAATGTGAGAGAAGGGATGGGTTTAGCTAGAAAGTCTGGATTGGTGGGTCCTACAAAATGTTGGCCAGATATTTTCTTTTTGCGGTTGCATTGTAGAGGCAACTATATGCATTCTGCTGTCATGATATATACTGCTCCAAATACATATACAGATAGTGATCAAAGAGGCTTGGATTATCATTCCCACAAACACATTTTTCATATTTTCCTACCTTTTAAGGTAGGAATCAAAGTGGAGCTTTACTTTCAACATTCTTTCAACTTCTGCTTTTTATATTGAACAGGGACAGGAAGACCCTACAAGGGCCTGACATATTTTTGTCCCATTCAATATTTCTGATGTAATCTCTGATATATCAGTGTCATTCTCTGGCTTATTCTCTCAGTGTCATCGCATATTTCTTTTGTTATGCAGCCTCTGTTTGCTTATCTTACAAGATTAGTGCCTTTTCTCTCTGTACCTTATCCATGAGGCTATCAAAGGAAGGCAAGGGGCTGCTGGAAAAAAGCAGGTACAGTTAGGACTTCTTTACACTGTGTCAGACCTCAGCAGTGGTTTTTGTCCTTCTTGTAGCTCTTGAGTCAGCAGACTCAAAGATGACTACATACCATGTGGCCATACCTTGGCCATTGCAGTTGAATTGCATCTCATGTGGCCCATATTTAACATTTCCAGAACTCTGTATGTAATTTTCAGCTCCAGTTTACTCTTCCACCCCACCAAAATGGGATCACCAGCAGATTACTGTGGTATATTTAGCATTGCCTGCTTACATTTGAGAGAGAGGAGAGAGCCTGGAAAGCTGCCGGTGTAAATAACAAGGTCTAGGTAGATGGGTGCAGACAGAACTCCTTTTTGCGTGCTTTGAGCCAGCTTTAATCCAGGTGCCATTTAGCTGTATTAGCACGACACTGTGCCTGATCTAACATACTCTGTCTCTCAGCACGAGCTTGCATTCAGCACGGTGCTAACACAGCTACGCCATTTCTGCACCAGAGGTGGCTGATGTCCACGCAGCAGCAAGGCAACGTGTATTAGTTCAGGAATACTCTCAGGGGCTCTCTTTCCAGCTGTTGGGAGGTTGGTGAGTTATACTGCAGACTTGAGCCTGATGTCATCTTTCAGCTGTGTGGACACTTGACTATGTTCAGATCCATGGATGGTTAGCCATAGCGGGAACAGTACCACAGCTGCTTTTTAAGTACCTACAAATTGCCACAAAGCTTAGCAAAACACATCTGAAGCTACTTCTGTATACAGATGTCTTTTCAAGTCTAGATTATTACAGTGAGTGTTTTGGATTCCCTGCCATGAGTAATCTGTCAGTGCAAGTTACTTAAACTGCAGTTGCTTGGATCCTTGCAGACTGATGACTGTCTATCTTTCTACGTCCTTGCTTTGGCTTCCTGTCAAATTATGTTGCTTTCAAAGTCCTCTAGCTCACATTCAAAGAAAGGAAGAAATGTGTGTCAGTCAAATTCAGAGCTAGGGCCCTCCTTGTGGAACAAGAGCTAATGAAGTGCTCTGTACCATCCCTGTTAGAAACCCCAACAAGGGAGATCAGGAACTGTCGGGGAAGAGCATGACCAATGTATGCTGCCTTTCATCTGCTCCTATAGCTCTCCTGGTAGTCTGAATGTGAATTAGAGCAGCTCTGGGCTTAACTACTTGAGAGGGCAGTCAGCCTTTGGCAGTCCCACAATATAGGAACATAGTAGTACCTCTCAGAAACTGTCAGCAAAGGAAATGTCAGGCCATGGTGTCCATGGTTGAGTACTTACGTTGGGGTACACAGGTTAGTTTGTTCACCCGTGATCGTGATCTCAATCACTGTGACTGAGGGCACTCTGAAAGAATGCATCCCGTCTGCAGACTCCCTGACTAATGCAGTTGAAGATGCTTCGTCTGTCTCATTATTTGAGAAAAGGTTAAGGGAACAGGATTCCAGTATGCTCAGCCTTGGGCAGGCAAGCAAGAGCAGTAAAAAGAAGCAAGGAGTTTCTCCCCCCCCCAGCATCCACCCAGGCCACAATTATTCAAGCACAGCACTTTCCAGCACAGAAGGATGCACCAGGCAAGTGCCCTGATCGTTAGTTGCTGGAGCGGGGACACTGTATGTAACAGGTTAGCAACCCATGTCCCTTTCCTACCCACAGAAATATTTAGCCCTAGAAATATTTTTATTTCTGTCCCCGTTGATAAGATTTCAGGCAGGCAGAAGCTGCCCTGACCCTGAAGTTGCAGCAGCAACTGCAGCCTTGCTTTGTTGATGCCTGGAGAGGAATGTGTTTTGCTCAGCCTGGAGGAATCCTTTAGAGCTCCAGTGGCAGCTGCGTGGTGTGTGTCACTGCTGCCTACAGAGAAGCATTGTCAATTGGAGTATTTGTCAAAAGACGGAAACAATTTTCTGTTGACCCATTTTATGGGTGAATAAAATATAATCAATATAAAGTAAACATAAGAATCTAATTGGAAAAAGGCTTATCTGGATTGTTTTGTTTTTGTTTTTGCTATTTGCTGGTGTAAGAGGGCTTTCATACATTATGGCACCATCAATGGCTGAAGAAACAGAAAAGTACAGTGAGAACTGATGAAACATGTCAGTCTCTAAACCCAACAAATTAATCTGTAATATCAATCTAGAAAATAATATGTATCATTCATCTACTTGCTGCCTACTGTCTGTGACTCTAGATGAGTCAATTAGGTTTAAAGGATTCCCTTAGAAAATGTAAATATCGGGACCTTTTTCCCTTTTTGGGCCACTTCGAAGGGAATAATGAAGGTTGCCTAGAGATTGAGGCATTGTCTAAATGATTTTCTTAATGCTGAGATGTGGATTACAAAAAAAACCCCAAAGTAGAAGTATCCTTGAGAGGTCTTTGGCTGCAAACCCCTGTAGGCAGGATCAAAGGCACTTAGATTGTTATTTCTCTAACTTATTTATTAGAGGGAATGCACTGAATATCAGGAGTTAAGGAAAATGGACTAACACATATCCTTTTATTGCTTGGTAGCTGGCAGGATATGTACATATTTTTTTTAAACCTTAATGTTTTATAAATAAGTGATTTTTATTGTCATAAAAATAAAATGTTAAGCTTCTCTTAGATGAAGCATCAGAGTGAAGACTCCTCAAACAATGTTAATTTGTTGTAGCGTGTTCAGAAAGGCCACTTAAAAGAGTTTCCTAGGAATTTCCTGGTATTTGTTTTGGTGCAGTACATTCCAGTCTTGCATCACCTTTTTATATGGAGTGAGAAGCTGGCTGTAAAATTTAGGTTCAGCAGGCAATCCATGTTTTTCATTTCTTTTCAGATTTTTTGACCATGAAAATTATACTATTAATAATCCATTTATTAATGATATTTTCTTGCTTTGTAGTGCCAATATATCAAGAATACTCAAACTGCAAGTAAAAAGATAAGTGATTTGGCTCCAAAATCTGGAAATCAAACTACCTGATCTCTAGCATGGGGGTACTATCTATCCCCATCGGAATGAGTGCCTTCAATAGCCAAAGTGCTTATTTAAAGCCTAGGGTACCAAAAAATTAAAAGTAACTACTTGATGTCTCAAAGAATGAGAGTAAACTATTTTCTCACTGAAGTTTAGGCAACAAATTTGTTGTTAATGCAACAAACAGGGCTGGGTTCAGGGCTGCCTTTGTTTTGAACAGCAGATAATCCCCAGCTGTAGTGCAGGAGAGAAGGGAGCCATCCACTTGCCCAGCCCAGGAGCTGTGCCTAAGCTGCCCTGGAGCCTCAATGCCACTACGGCCCTTGGGGCAAGTAGGGACCTGTGCTTTTCTGGGGCTCCATCACCCAAGATCTTCACAGGTCACCCCCAAGGTGGTGCTGACTGCCCTTCATCTGTGTGACACCAGCAGTCTGGGCAACCTTTGGCAGATATTTATCTAACCCATTCATTAAAAAGTTCTGATATAGAGATTTAATTATCCTTCAATTGGGAAAGTTCACTCAAATCTTCCCTGCTGCATGTGGAATCTCTTATTTTGCAGAGCCTGCCCTTCCAAAGGTCACAGGGAGCAACCAATCTCATTGTCTTCCTTGATTGCCATTCTTTTCTGTGTAGGTAAGTCTGTAATCATGTCCTCCCTCAGGCTTCTCTTCCCCTGACCTTTTCTCATAGGGCACATCTTTCTAAATGTCTCCTATTTTTGCTGTCCCTTTCCAGCATTTTCCTGATTGCCCCTCTCTTGCTCACAGCAGCACTCAAAACTGGATATAGCCAGTACTGGATAGTGGATTGATTACTCTCCCATGTCTTACATGTCACTTTCCTGTCAACACATAACAGCAGAATATTTGCCTTTCTATACAGCTTTTCAATAGGGAACTACTCAATTTGGCCATCAAGATTTGAGCATTCTCTAAACAGCACTATTTTTTTTCCTGTGTTTCCTCCTGCAGAGGGGAAAAGGTGTAGTGAGTTGCACTGGGACAGGACTCCCTAGGTGTCCTAGGTTCATCAACAGTAATACAGGGGAAGAAACTTGTGGATAGATAGATATAGATGTAAACTTTGGGTGGAGATACCTTTGAAAGGTTTATGTATTTATTATAACATCAGGTTTATGTCCTCTGCTTGTATGACACGCTTTAACATTCCAGCATCATCTTCTCCAGTACATTATCACTGATGCTACACAATACATCAGCGTTTCAAGATCCATGCAAGGTCCCTGCTGCTGGTTGAGCATGAGTAATAAATCGCCCTTTTGCTCAACCTCCTTTCTTTCCAATCAGACTTTTTCCTAATAGGTCATTAGTCACAAACAACACCCACTTACAGAGATTGATCAGTGTCCTCGCTACAGAATTCCCTTTCTGTTCCTTGACTGTGAATACATCATTCGGTGTTTTATCCTGTATTGCTAAAATCAATGTCATTTGATGGCTGAATTTTCAAAAATGCTGATACCTTGCATTGTAATTTCTGGATGACTAATACAGGACCTGGGGAAACGTTTAGCCTCCAGAGCTTCTCAGTGTCAGCAGTTCCCATTTTACAAGGCAGACAGTAGAGAGGTTGTCTGTAACCTGGTAGTCTTGCTCTGCTATTGGAATGGTAGGTATAGCACCTTAAGGATGCCTTGTAAGAATTTGAATTGAGAGGCTCAAATACAGGTATGGTTGGGATGTTCTTAATGTCACTTTTATGCAAATGGATCCATCTTGCAGAAGTTACATCCTTGTTTAAAAATTATGGGGTTACTACTGTATGTTCTTAGGATTTTGTTTGATTCCAGAGATGGAGATGTTATCCATAATAAAATATATAAATGAAAAGGGGAAAAAACCCCTAACCCAACAGCCTTATTGTGTCAAGGAGCTGTTGCTTTAAACTCACTTAGGATGATGGCAAACATCTGAAAGACATTTCTTTTTTTATATTATATAGATGCAATGTATGACAGCTGGGACCGAGAGAAAGCTGCAGGTTCCTGGTGCCTGTGCTCAGACATTGCTGATTGCAACTCTGAGAAGTGCTTCATGAGCCTGTGCTCCACAACGGGCTCATGAGGATCTGCTGAAGTGCGAAATCTGCTATGAACTCATCAAATGTGCATCCTAGCAATACTTTGCTGGAAAGCTACTTGCATCATCTGAGTGTGCACGGGGGATAAGCAGTATAAGCAAAACCACAAATCTCTTTATAGTAGAGCTTTATTCCTAATGCAGTAATTAAGCAGTAATTCAAGGTGTGTGAGTAATAGGAATAGTTGCAGGAAATTAAAAGTTCTTGTCCATGGGGAGAAATTGCATAGTGCCAACACCTCAGAGGGGCAGAAAAGGGGTGCAAGTAAAGCTCAGATAGTTTGCTCACATTAACAGCAATCCCACATTAAATTCCATTCTTAATTTATGAGCATTTGGGGGAACTATTATGAAGTAAATATTAATTTTTTTCAGCTCTGCTGAAAGGTCATGAAGTCATTAAAATGGAGAAAAATAGTTTTGAAATTATAAATTTTTTTTTACTGAATTTTTGCCAAAAGGAAGAGAAGATAATTCTGCATTAGTGATAGATAATCCATTGTAAAGCTTGTTTAAAAAAAAAAAAAAAAAGAGTTGTTGGGTGTTGGATTAAGATAAAAGATTCTGAACTTGCACTTGATGCTAGACAGAATCACTTCCAAAATCGATGCCTAAATATACCTGTATTTATCACAATTTCTTTTCATCTGTTTCTTAAGCAGCTCTCTGCCCAGAGTTATCTGCTGGCAATTCCTGTTAGACAATAATATGGCAGCAGTTAGTTACCAATTTTGTTCTGGATTTGGGACATGCTTCCTGTCAACTATTGTACATAATGATTCATGGTCCTTCCCTGTACAGACCTGACCATCCCTGGATGCCCCCGGATTACTTTCCTGTAAGTAGTTCATTTGGTATGATTTGTGGAAACAGATTATGTTCACAGAACACTATATAAAACCAACTTGTATTGAGGGCTCGCATACAATACTTATAACCACGGGCACCAAGGCATAAATGAATTTGCAGATCTGTACCGCTATCTTCACATTAAGGGAATGTGGAATACTACCTCACATACTCTTATCATTACAATTTTAGACAAAGCCTCAAACTTCCTCTGCTTATAGGGAGTCCCTAGGCAAAAATAACTGGTTCTGTGTAGTCTGACATCTTCATCTTCATGTTTTGTGTTTTGGAGATTGTAAAAAATAAAAAAAAAAAAAAAAATTTAAAGAAATGGCAGGGAATTATTAAAAAGGTATGTACTACCATATATAAGACTTTAGCACCTATGGGCTGGAGAAACTCTTTGGTATATAAAATAATGACTGGCAATGGAAAGATAATTAGTATATTT